TGAGATGGGCAACATAAATGCCTGCTGTTATGGTTTATACTAGACATCACCCCAAAGTGCATGAGGCTTTTGGGCCTCAGACATGAGGCTTTTGTGTGTTTTATTTTGTTTTGCAAGACAGGGTCTCCATCCCCCTGCCTCAGCCTCCCGTGTGCTGGGATTACAGGCGTGTGGCATCACACCTGGCTACAAGAGGGGGCTCTCAAAAGGTGCTCAAGGGGCTGGGGATTTAGCTCAGTGGCAAAAGCGCCTGCCTGGCAAGCGCAAGGTCATGAGTTCGGTTCCCAGTACCAGAGAAAAAAAAACAAAAAAAAAAAAGGTGCTCAAATTATGGGAGCAGTCTTGGTCCAGAGAGGCTGGGCACAGAGACTGTGACCCAGAAGGGTGTCCTCCTTCCCTGGGCTCTTGCTTCCTGGTTGCTGTGGAGGGAACAGGTCTCCTTCCCAGGCTGACCCACTGTGCCTGTCCCCCTTGAAGCAGCCGGCTATGGACCAAAAACTCGAGCCGTTTGTTGGTGCTGGGATCAAGTCTCAGCAATGAGCAAGTAACTGAGACACCTGCTGTTGGAGACCAGGCTGCAAGGGTTGAGCTGCTGAATGCAGCAACCTCTGGCTGGGCTGGAAAAGAGCACATGCAGGGTGCTCTGAAGTCAAGATAACCACAGCTGAGGCAGCCAAGGACACGGGCTGCTGACATCCCCTATGCAGAGCAATACAGCTGCCAACCTTGGAGATCAAACAGTTCTTTTAATTGGCACAATTTACTGCTTGGAGAAGTCTTTGAACTGACTCCCAAGGTCCCGGGGTAGCCTCAGTACCCCACTCCTTTGTTTGAAAACCAAATAATATGGGCTGTCTGGTGGAACTCTTTGTCTTTACTCCTGCGAGAGAGAGCTCTGACCTTCCTGGAGCCTAAAAATCATACTATTGTCTACTTTCATTTTAGCTGTTCGCCATCCACCCATTTTAGGAGACTGGGGGCTAGGCGAAGGCCCTGGTAACCTGCTTTAACCTCTTCGACTTAATGACATTCTGAAGTTACAGACAGTGTAATAAGACATGAAAAAGAAAAGCTAGAATTAGAAAGAGGAAAAACTGCCGGTCTGCAGAAGATGTGACCGGGGATGTGTGACATTTGGGAGGGAGTGCCCCAGCCTGTGGGAGGCACATGTGGAAGGTTCCGTGTGCCAGGTGTAGAGTGGGGTGGGGTGGGAAGAGAGGAAGCCATAGTGATGATGTCACCACAGCCAGGCACTTGAGAGCCAGGTTGAGCCCTCAAAAGCAAGACCTGCACTTTACAGAGGAAGAAACTGAGGCATAGAGAAGGTTGGGGCTGACCATCATACAGTGGTGGCACCGTCAGCATTTGAAACCAAGTTAGTCTATTTGTAGAGCACGTCTGCTGCTGTGTACAGACTGATTTTGTCAGGTTTTTTCCTTGGGGTGCTGAGGATAGAACCCAGGGCCTCACACCTACAAGGGAAACACTCTACCAATGAGCCATATACACTACCCCCAGCCCTTTTTATTTTTTGCTAAGCTCTCCAGGCTGGCCTCGAACTTGTGAACCTCCTAAGTAGCTGGATTATAGGTGTGTGCAACTGTGCCAGGCTGTCGGCAGTCCCGAGTGTGGCACAGGGCCTCGCTGAGGCTGGGAAGGGTAAGGAGAAGTGAGACTGGCCAGAGCTTTTTAGGAAGGAAACGAAGTGAACTCAGGAGGGTGGGCTGGGCCTTGGGAAGCGGAGTCGAGGAGGAGCTTCCCCTTCTGCACTTCCTCCTGAGGAGCGGGGATCAGGTTCTGAGCACGGGACAGGTGGGATCAGCTTCATGCTTTAACAAGACCCCTCACGAACCTCACTGCCTCCTTCCCTGGCTCTGACAACTGCCCCCTTACTGTTCTAGAACACAGCAAGCCTCTGAGTCTTTGCATTTGCCGTGTACCATCCCTGGACCCCTCTCCCACCAGTTACCTGCAGTGTGCTCTGACTCAGGCCCCTGATTCACACACCAGTCCTATTCTCAACCGGCTTCATTTTTCTGGTGGTACCAGGGATCGAACTCAGGGCCTTCATACTGAGTTACACCCATAGCCTTTAAAAAATTTTTCTTTTTGACACAGAATATCACTAGATTTTCTGGACTGGGCTCACACCTATGATCTTCCTGCCTCAGCCTCCTAGAGTGTGGGATATAGGTGTGTGCCACCACCCCTGGCTTCCCTGACCATTTTTTATGTTTACTGTCCCTTCTCTCTCTATAATGTGGGCTTCATGGGTCTCCCATGGAGACTGAGTGTTTTGTGACCACAGCTCTGATAGAAAGCTCAGAGGGAATTGGCTCAAGAAACTGCCCCAGGGAAGAGCAGGTGGACTCAGGTGGACCCGAGTCACTTGATCTGGAATTCTGGCTCTGCTGCACCCTGGCTGTGTAGCTTTGGATAAAAGATCGAACTTCCTGCTTTCAGTGTCCTCTGTGGAAAGGGGACAGAGGACGTGAGGGAACTAGGTGCTAGCGCTGGCTGGCATGTCTTCCCCAATGCCGAGTGGGAAGCCCGGGGTAGTCGGTGGTTTCCCACGAGGCAGCCCCCTCTCTGATCTGAGACCCTGGGTTTGGAGGCAGGGCCTTGGCTAGCTCCCTCCCTCCCTGGGGCCCCGCTCCCCGCTCCCGCCCTCTCACAGGCTGAGGTCGGAGCCCACGCTGGTCTGCAGTAGGTAGGCCTTGGCGTTCTGTACCGCCAGCTCCCGCAGCGGGGGCTCAGGTACCTCAGGACTGTAGTATAGGAAGCCCTGCTCCGAGAACGAGAACCTGGGGGCTGTGAGGTCGTCCCTCGGGTAGGGGCTGTGCTGGGTGCCTGGCGAGAAGGCCTGGTCTCTCGGGTAGCTGTCGAACTGGCTCAGGAAGCTGGCGCCCGCGGGGTGGTAGGCGGGCTCAGATTGCTGGAGGAGGCCGCCCTGGCCCCGCTGCAGCTGCTGCAGCATCAGGGCGGTGGTGTGCTCGCCGGCCAGGCTCCTGTGGTCTTCCGCGTAGGCATGGGACTGGAACCCCAAGGGAAAGCTGGGGTGCTCTGTGCGGCCCATGGGCGCCTCCGCAGCTTGGACGCTCTGGGACAGCCGCCAGTCCTCGTGCTCAGGCGGGCCGGCCCCCTGGGACCAGCGCACCTGGGGCAGGCCCGGGAGGCCTTGGCTGCCGCGCTGCTGCGACAGCGGCGTCTGCAGCGCCGGTTCGGGGTCAGTGCCCTGCGGCTGCGAAGCCTCCAGACTGCGCCGCTGGTCGGACGCCTGGAAACTGCTCCGGCCGGAGTACTGCCCGGCGGGGGGCTCGGAGGGGTCCCCCATAGCTAAGAGCGGGGCACCGCCTTCTAGGCGCGCTTGGAGCTGGGCAGGTCAGACCCGCCGCCCGCGGGCACGCTTCAGGAAGCTGCCTATCGCCGCTCCCTGGGCACCGGGACGGGGCCGTTAGGGGCCGGGTCACCCGCGAAAGCAGCGTCCACGCAGGCGCGCCCCGCGTGTCCCCGGCCCGCCCGCCGCACAGATCGGCGGAAGCGCCTCAGAGCGCCACCTCCTTTATTTACTTTTAAGGCGAAGCCGCGCCGCGTCCCCTCCCCGCCCTCCTCCTGCAGGCCCTGTCAGCTGTTCCCCTTGGCCTCGGGGTCCCCGGCCTCCTCGGGCGCTGGGCTGGGCGTCTTGGCGCCGGCGTCCTCCCCCGCGGCCAGGGTCTGCGGGCTCCGCTCCTCCGCGGCCGCCAGCCCGCCCGCTGCTGCCTCCTGGTGGCGGGAGAAGGCAACGGGCAAGCGGGTCAGCAGCGCGGTCACCCCGGCCCTCAGCGCCCCCAGCTCTTAACCCCAGGGCCCCGACTCTTCCTCTGCGGCTCCGGCCGGCGCCCCTACCTTGGGCAGGGGCCCCTCGAGACTAGAGTCCAGGAGCGCGGCCTCGGTCAGACTCGCGTCCTCGTCCATGCTGATGAAGATGGCCGGGGTCTCGCACTCGGGCCCCTCCTCCCGGAAGTCCATGGCCTCCTCCACGGGGGCCGGGCCCGGCCGGGCGGCGGCAGCGGACGACGAGGCGGGGGCGCCCACACCGCCGGGCTTCAGCTTCTGCTCCTCCTCCAGCTGCCGCTTTAGGGCCTTCTCCTGGGCCAGCCGCAGGCCGATGAGGTCCTGCGGGGGCCGGGGACCCGCGGCCGGGGCCAGGGCCAGGGGCTCCAGGTCATCCTGCGGCGGGGAGGGGCACAAGGCGCTCTGGGGGTGCTCCCGGGGGAGGGGCACGGGGGGGGGCAGCCGTCCGCCCGCCCGATCTCGGCACATGTTTAGACAGAAGCGGCCTCGGAAGCTGCAGCCCCCGGGGGACGAGGGCGGGCAGAGGGGGCAGGGCCCTCACCTCCTCCAGGGGGCCTGCAGCTGCCTCCTTGGCCTCGGGCTCCTGCTTGCCACTGGCCTCCAAGATGGTCATGATGGAGTTGGGAATGTGCGCTTGCTAGGCGAGAGCAGGAGGGGGCGCTGTGGAGAGGTCCGAGACCCCCCAGGTCCCAGGACCCCGACCCTCCAGAGCCCTTGGGCTTCTGCGGCAGGGCAGGGCTCCCCTGGACCACCGCCAGCCCGTCCTTGAGTGCTGCTGCCCCGCACCCTGAGGTACCTGGTGGGGGGTGAAGGAGCGCACGTGGGCCAGCAGGGGCTCCCGGAGCTCAGGGCACTTGTCAAAGACGGCGCCTAGCTGCTGGGGCGGCAGCTGCAGGATGACCTGGAAGCTCTGGGGCTTGGTGCGCTGGCAGCACTTGATGAAGCCCTCCCACACCTTGGGGTACTTCCACACCTGGCGGGGGGGCGGGGGGAACAGTGTTGGGCGGGGCCGCAGGCAGCACCCCAGCCCCAGCCCCAGCCCCAGGGAGAACGACCTTGCCAATCCCAGCGCCCAAGAACCCTCTGGGCTCCATTCGGCCCTGACCTCCCTCCAGAGGCCTTTGCTTCCCTTCAGGCAGCAGGCATATGAGGGCAACTTGGAAAAGGGGTCGAAAACCGAGGGTCTCCCCGGCCGCACCCCTTTGCTACAGCGCTCCTTGCCTCTGCCCCAAGCACCCATCATGTCATTCTCACAGCGGCCTCGAGAGGGCGACGTTGGCCCTGTTACAGAGGCAGAGGTGCAGGCAGGCACTTGCTCAGGTCACAGGGGGACACACAGGCAGAAACAAAGAGTTGAACCCAGGTCTGCCCCGCTCGGCCTTGAGCCTCCACGCCACACGTTACAAAGCAGCCGCCGCTGGGCTGAATCCCACTGAGCTTGCGGGCGGCATCTGCTCTGTCTTGGTATGCCTACAGGCCCTGACTGTGTTGTCTTGAACTGGACCATCTCCTGGCTGGGCCGTCCTGGCGGGGTGTGCCTTGGTGGGGGTTGGGGGGCTGCCGTACTGCTGCTGCTCACCCCGAAGCCCATATGGCCCCTCCACCCAGCCGCCCACCCTCACCGCCCTGTGGCCACACCGCACGTGCCCAGGAGGCGGGGTGAGGCTGGGGTCCCACCCGGTCCGTCCTCAGCGCAGCTGGCTGCTCTCCCCTGGGCCGGGGCAGTTACCTGCTTCATGATGAGGCGGGACAGGATGTTCATGACGAAGCCCCCCAGGCGGGGGTACATGGTCAGGGACTGGATGACGGTCCTCATGAGCAGCATGGGCAGGGGGCTCTGCTCCATCAGCTGCTGCATCACCACGGCGAGCACCTCGGACGTGTACACGTTACGCTCCGCGAAGCACAGGTTGGTAGCTGCGAGGCGGAGAGCAGCCCGTCGTCCTCTCTGCCCGCTGCCCCCACCCGAGGTCGCCTCCCCGCTGTCGTGAGAGGGCACCCTGGCCCCGCCTGAGGACAGCCCCAGGAGGCTGGAGACGTGCTCCAGCTCCACTGGGCAGTGGGCACCTCCAGTTCTGCTTCTAGGGGAGGCGGCTACTGCCTCCCATGGTCCCCTCCCCACCAGAAAGCTGCTCGCGGGCATCAAGGCCTGAGCTGGTGCTGGGAGACAGACACTGGACACAGGTAGGTGCTGGGATGGATACCGCGCCCCAGCTCAGCACCCAGCACCAGAAGGACCCAGAGGGCTGGCGCTACCCACATACCCCAGGCTGGCCTTGGGTCTGCTTCCCCCAAAGTGGTGCCAGAGCCTCATCCACTGTGCTAATGGGGACGTCCCAGGGCCTGCCTCTGAAGCCCCTCTTCCCCAAACACCAGTTGCCATGTGAGTCTGTCAATCAGGAAATCTTTATTGAGCCAGAAAAGAGGCCCTCAATCCTTGAGGGGTGAGGGGAGAATCAGGCAGAGGGAGGGCCTTACAGGGAACAGGGGGCCCAAAGAAGGAAGGGGGAGATATGACAGGAAATCAGGGGGAGGCTGAAGGGGCAGAGGAGTGGAGGTAAGGACCCGCGGGAAACTGAAGCACCTGCTCTTCTCCACTCGGCCAGGGAGCCCTGTATCCTGCCTGCCGGCTGCTAACGGCCCTCAGAAGTGGCCCCTCCGCTCCCCTGGGCTCCCACTTCGCCTCTAAGCTGCCCTCCAAATAGTGGCCTGAGGGGTCCTTTTTTTGGTACCAGGAATCAAACTCACAACCTCAGGCTTGCCAGGCAGGCGCTGTTCCGCTGAGCTAAATCCCCAGTCCCTGAAGGATCTTTCAAAAGCTCAACCTCTACCTCCTCCTTTCTAGAAGACAAGAGCACAAGGGCAAACCCTCCATGTGGGCAGCCAGGCAGGCCTCCCCAGTGCTCATGCCTGGCCTCATGTCTGGGCCAGGACCTCGAGCCCCAGGTCGGCTCAGTAGGTGCGGGAGCCTGGCCCAGCGCTGGCCCCATGGCCTCCTCACCCCTGCTAAGTTCCTGCTGCCAGCAGATGGCTCCCCCAGGAAGCCCTCCCAGGACCCACCTCCAGGCTGGCTCAGACAGCCCCTCATGGCTGCCCTGTCACAGGTCTGTCCAGGGCCAGCTTGTCTTGATCTCCAGACTGTGAGACCTGGGGTTGTGGGCTGGGGCTGTCTCTGTCCCTGCTATGATTCTAGCACCACCCAGGATAAGGCTGAGCCAAGGTACTCAGCGAGTTTTAACTGCTGAACCAGATCACGGAGAGGTAGAGCACAGGCTGCGCATGCGTGAGGTCTCTCCCAAACTCTATCCCCAGTGCTCTGCCAACAGAGGGAGCAGGGAGCCTAAAGAGCACAGCCATGGACCTTAACTTTCACATCTTTTTCTCCTTGCTGCTCTTCCATTGGGTTTGTGAGGGCGCAAATGGTGGGCTCCAGGCTGCAGTGCAGACTTCTCAGCCTGGTTCCTACCACGGGCACTAGTGCAGCCAGGAAATTACTGGGGCCCAAGCAGGGGAGAGGTGCTCTGGCTCTGGGGTAGCAGGGCTGAGGGCTGCAGGCAAGCAGTGGTGGGGGTGACAGGCCCGAGTGTGCCAGAGCAAGGTGGGGAGGTAAAGGGTCCACCCTGCCGCCGCCACTAGGCCTTGGCTACTGGCTACCTCAGTGGCCCCCACAAATTCCTTTTCTTCTGGGCCACAGTTCCTATGAGCACCACAGGACTTGAGAGGGGGGCTCCTATTCTGGATCAAGAACGGCCTTAGCAGGGGTGGCTGTGTCTGCAGAGCCCCTCAGGTGGTGCCCATGCCACGTGAGCATAAAGCACATGACCGTACTGCCCTTCGGATGCCCTGGTGCATCAGAGGGGTCAGGAGGGACTGGCAGTGTGGTTCAGTGGCAGTGAGGCGCTGGGTCCCCTCCCCAGCACCATAAAAAACAAGGAAGAAGTGGCCAGGGTCAAAAGACCACAGTCTTAGACCAAAACCTGTGAGACCGCTTCTCTCGCTGCTCTTCCACCAGAGGCCTTGGCACCTCCTCAGTGTCACCTTGTCATAAGTTCCTCGCCTGACCTGAGAAGTTGCTGAGAACCTGCTAAGGGGGACTAGGAAAGAAGCCATTGACAGCCAGAACAAGAAACAAAGTGGCACGGAGGGGAAGTCCCCACCCAGGAGGAGAGGAATCAAAGGACAGTTGTCTTCAGAGCAGAGGGTGACAGGCAGGGCCTCCACCTCCTGGCAAAGGTTAGTTCCTGCTCCAGAGCCTCTAGGGAGGGAGAGTGGAGTTCTGGAGTGCTGAGGGTGGCGGCTCCTTAGGGGAGGTGGCCCGGACCCAGGGTGCATGGAGGAGGCGGAACTTTAACTCAGGTCTACGTGAGTTCAGAGTCTGTGCTTTGCATCACATCGCTTAGCTGCTGTGTGTCCCTGACCCAGTTACTTAACCTCTCTGCAACTCCATCTCCTGTCTGCAAAGCAGAGTCAACAACTTACCAAGGAACGTGATGGGATCAGCAGGAGCAGACCCGTAGGCAGTAAGGGAGAGCCAGGCTCAGAGTGAGTGGAGGGCGCTGAGAGCAGGCCAGTCTCACCAACCCCTTGCTATGGAAGCACACCCCCTGCGCCACTTGAGCCTGCATCTGCAAGGCCAGC